AGCAATCGGGAAAACGAGTCCCACGGTCACTACGGAGCAACCGCGTCCTAGGCCAACCACAGGGGACACACATCCCAAACAAACCACGAGGATCTCACACACGAGACAAACACACTTGAACCCGGCGCTCGACACAGGAAGCCCAGGTCCAAGACAAGCAACAGAGCAAGCACGCACGGAATCCACAACGGAAGAATTGAACGCACGGACACCCTCAAAACCGACCATCAGCATCGAAAAAGGACAATGGCAACCACCATCAGACAGCCCAGCATCACGGGAAACAGCCACGCTAACCCTACGCTGGTCGGGGCCCATAATCGAACTGATATCCACAGAGCCCCTCAACGCGGGCCCGGAAACCAGGACGATACCCCCTGTCGTACCCACGGCCGACGACACACCGATCTTCGCCAACACAATGGAGTACCTTCCGCGTACTGACATGGTTCTTAGCGCCATGCAACGAGCCATGCCTAGAGCCATGTCCGAGATCTTCGTCGCCCACACAAGTCGTTGCTGCGATACCAGAGGCGTCATCGCGACTCACCTGTTCACGTACCAGTCTGGCTATAGTATAACACGAGTACTACACCCGGCGTACCAAAACATCATACCCATGGTCGACACCACACCCATCGTCGCCCACATAAGCGACTACCAACGGAGGATCGAACCACCCAGCTCCTTCGATACAACCCTCTTACCCGAAGACCCCAGCCAGCCATTTGACTCCGAAGCAGCCGATCCAACCGAAAATGAGCCCGAACCAGTCCCGGAGCCGTGGCCGCCGGACTTGGCCCCGCAGATCCAAGCATGTACATTCGACAGACCCATCCTACCGAAAGACCCGAATCAAACGTTTGACCCCGGAGCCACCGAACCCACCGAAGACGACCCAGAACTACCGACGGATCCATGGTTCTAGCCATGGCTCGTCACAAACGGCGGAGGGTAAGCGCATCCACGCTGGCGGGAGACAATAATCTAACTGATATACACAGAGCTAACGAACCATGGCTCTAGCCACGGTTCTACCCAAATAGCGGTGTGTCAGCACTCCGGAAAATAAAATAGTCTTAAGCAACGCACGCAATTACTAAAATTGAGAACTCTCGATCAGCGAAAAACACAGCACGAATTTCTCGGTCACCCACTTCTTGGCGATATTTCGCAACCACTCGGCCTCGAATCACAGATATCACCTTCGCGATGCGGAGGTAGCAAAAACCCAATTTCCAGCTGCAGCCCGCACCTACTGCGATGCAGTCTCAGCAAAACACTCTCATCAAAACACACTGACCCACTAATAATTGTCAACGAAGCACCAAGCTTCGACCCACTTATCACGCCCCACAATTATTATTACCCAATAACCTTAAGTCAGCAAGAATTAATTATTTCCGGGTCTCAGGTGCGATCGCCAGCTGCATAAAAGGGCCAAGATCGGCCGAAAGAGTAGGCAGTCCATCAGCCCGAACACAAGACACTGCACTAGGCAGTCCATCAGCCCGAATACAAGATACAGGCAGTCCATCAGCCCAAACACAAGACACTGCACAAGGCAGTCCCTCAGTCACACACCCAAGACACTGTACTACGCAGTCCCTTAGTCACACACCCAAGACACTGCACTAGGCAGTCCCTCAGTCACACACCCAAGACACTGCACTACGCAGTCCATCAGCGCACCATTCCATACGAGTTGAAGTAGCAGAATTTAAGTGAATGAAGAAAGTGAATGAAAAGAATAAAGAATACTGAATAAAAACTAAGAAGCCAACAAACAAAACCGTCGCCTCATCATTTCTCGCTGCCTACTACATTCTTTTACCAGCCAGCCCGACACCTGAAGTCACCTACAAACTACAAATTTTCTTGTAGCGAACCCTGGACAGACTGATGCTTACCTCAGCCTGAAATAGGACCTCACAACATCGATGTGAAAACATCAAAAACATCGATGTCCGCGAACATCGATGTTTCTCCACCTCTACTTTGGATACGTGGATTGCAGCGTTATCCTGTTGAAAAATCGACTTTTCCTCACAGTATGTTTCGCTAAACGGTATTAATACGTCGTCCACAAGGCTTATGTACATCTAAGAACTCATTCGTGATGATACAAAACATAAAAAACATACAGGCGATCTTCCGGTGTGTCCAAATGCAGCCCATACCATACGCGAGCCACCCCCTAAATTGCAGGGCTGGATTTATATCTCTCTAGTATACTATTTTTCCGTGAAGGCCATCCAAGTAAAATTCCATCCACTTGTCTAAAATTTTTACTTTTCTGCAAATAACAGACGAGCTATTTTATTCCTTGATAGAAGCATAGGTTTGCGTACCATTTTTCCATATTCAATGTTATTGTTAGTTAGGTTAAGGCGGTAATTGGAGAGAGAGTTGCCATCGTATATCGGCAATAAGCGCGAAAGCTTCGTCCGTTAGTAGCCTACACGTAGCCAAAGGCATCGCTACTTGCTTCTTCTCCGGTAGGAGAGATGTGGTAGTACCCTGCCTGGCTAGTTCGTCGGCAGCATTATTCCCGTCGATTTCCGGGGACCCATACGCCACTACGCGTCAACCACTCCGCTGCATCTCCCGCAGCAATTCATTAGCTGCTACGTTCCATAGGAGGGACGAGAGGACTCCGCCCTGCGGTGTACCTCTGCTGACAAACCTAGTGTACGTTGACGTCCCCAGTGAAGCATCTGATCGATAAGACTCACCGTCCGGGAATTAGTCCCCAGGTCCGTCAGTGCACCAGTGATGGCGGTATATCAAGGAAGGCTACCAAGGTGTATTCCTTACAGTTAAGGGACGTTTCAATGATCGATGTGATCGATAGACATGCTGAGAATCAAAGATAAGATCGGGCGTAATACTCGCCCAGAGATGCAGCCCCATTGTGTTTCATCGTGTTTCATCGTGTTCATGGTCTTCATGGGTCTGAAATCTTTGGGGACAGTGTGCGAGGGCTTGTTTGCCTTGGATATAAAGACGACTTTGGTCTGAAGCCACGTGCGCTGTAGTTTGGTCTGGTTAAAACGCAGCCTGGGAAGTGTGTAATGAGAAGTTGTTTGATTCATTGCTGGACGTCGTCCATGACTGATCGGATTTCTTCAGGTAACCCAAGGTTGGGGTGAACTTTGCGCAAGCGTCAAGCTTCGGAGTTACTTTCGATTTCACTGCAGAACTTACTCCATGAGGCGCGTTTGGCTTTCCTAAGTTCCTTGTTATAGGTTGATAGACTGACCTTCTACTCGGACCAGTTCTGCTCAGAGCTTTGGTTTTAGAGCTTTGGCTCTGTTGAAGAGTCTCCGGGAGGCTTTCCGGAGTACCCCCAGTTTTTGAGTCCACCATTCAGGTTTCGAGAGATTCGAGAGGAGAGTCTCAGAGTCTCCATCGAGTCCATCGAGTCTCAGCTCTATAATGGAATCAACACTCAGGGAGATATGTGAGTGGGCGGAACTCAGTATCAAGTTGGACAAGACGGACCTCATTCTCTTCAACAAGAGGTACAAGGTGCCAGCATGGATCCCCCGAAAATCGACAGAACCAGGCTGACCCCAAAAACACAAGTCAAATAACTCGGCATAGTACTGGACAGCAAGCTGGCATGGAGATCCAATGTATTGGAAAGGGTGAAGAAAGCCACCATTGCGCTATATGCATCAAAGAAGATGCTCAGCAGCACATGGGGCCTATCACCTGCACTAATGCACTGGATCTACATTTCGGTAGTGCGACCGACTTTGCTGTATGGAGTATTAGTGTGGTGGCAGGCTACGAAAAGAAGACTTACAACAAGCTAATGGAGAGAACTCAGCGGCAGGCACTGCTCTGCATCACTGGGGCGCTGAGGTCAACCCCAAAAAAAGCACTCGAAACAATACTCGGAATCGACCCCCTGGACATCCACGCTCAACTGATTGCAGGTAAGGCAGCACAACGCCTAGTCGCAACAGGCAACATATCGCTGCAAGGATTCGGGCACAGTTCAATAGGCCGAGACATGATCGGTATATCTGACTACATAGTCCCCCGAACTTGCCTGAACGTCAAAACAACAATACTCATGGGACCCGACGACTGGAAAGAAAGTTGGGATCAGACTAAACAACTAAACATATAAAAAGACGGCTCCAAGATGGAAGGAGGAGTAGGAGCGGGCATATACTATACAGACCCTGAAATAAGGATTTCCTATAAGCTACCGAACCAATGCAGCATATTTCAGTCGGAAGTCTTCGCTACACGGAAAGCGGCGGAGGTTGCTCAATGTACGGATCGCCCACATGATGTGGTCAACCTTTTCGTGGACAGCCAGGCTGCGACAAGATCCATGCAGTCGTCAGCGGCCAATTCCAAAAATGTCCTGGCAGGCGGAGAAGCATTAGATTTTCTAAGCACGACAAAGTCAGTGCGGATATATTGGGTTCCCAGCCACCAGGGCATCGAAGGCAACGAGACAGCAGACGTGCTGGCTAAAGAAGGCGTCGGTCTGGCAAACGACAGGACTAAGAACGTGCCTGTCTCCCTCAGAACGCTTCGAAGCGATCTAGAGAGGCGGGCACACATACAGGCCAGTAGCAGGTGGAGAAGAACCACCACCTGCAGAATCGCGAAACCCTGGAACATCTAATCTGCAAATGCCCGGCTCTCTCAAGAGCAAGAAACAAACACCTTGGCGGCCCGGTACTGGCATCGCTGGAAGAGGCATACAGGAGGACGCCAGGAGGAACTCCTTGCCTTTGCGAAAATCTCCTCGATCCTCACGGACTTCGAAACAACGTAAAACTCTCAGAAGGTCCCTACGCACATATCCGGACAACTAAGGGCCATACTTGCCTATGCGTGGCCACGTGAGGGCCGTCCGCGACAACCTAACCTAAACCTAACCGGGGATGCAGGAGTGCGGTATTCGGTGGCTGCGGGGATTCGAGCTGTGTGCTTGCGGTGATTCCCGTTGCCATTTCGTAGGACGTAGTATGTTGTAGTACCAAGAAAACGTTCTCTTAACTGTTATTATACATTTTGGCTATTATAAATGGAAAAATATTTCGAATTATACATATGTATGTATGTACACAAGTTTTTACATGAACACAAAACTTCACATTTCTGTAACCTTATATTTAAAAAAAAAAAACTATTTATCTATCTTATTATTCCCAACCTCCAAAAGACTTCGTTTGTACTGTTCTTCAGTAACCATAACGCCGTCCATGTCCACAAAACGTGTATGCATTCCAGCAGCAATAAATCGCTTGGTAGCAGGCATATCTAAACGAGGAGCTTCGAGTGAGGCATTTAATTCTTTGCTTCTACGCAGAATTTCTTTGGCGCGACCCAAATCATGTATTATACTATGCTGAAAACATAAATTAATTTTATTAGGTCATTGGATATACATATGTAGTTAATATTATAAATTTACCTTAGACACATCTGAGCCCTGTAACTTTAAATACATCCAATATAACGTGGTTGTTAAGTATACCAGATAACTGTCTAATTTAATTTGTTCATCTATGCTCAGAAGTGGAGATCTATGAGTTGAAAGGGCTTTTTTCATGTCGGTCTCTAATGCATCAAGGCTTAAATCAAAGCTTTCAATAGTTCCTTGAATTTTGTTGTCTTCACGTAATTTTCCCTCCAGATGGACGCCCCATTCGGCTTCTTTGATATTGTAATCTTTTCTTTCCGACATTGAAATCATATGTAGTAAAAGCCTTATTTCGTAATTAAACTATTATCTACAATATAAAATGTTGAAAGTTTATGGTTAGTCTATGACTAAATTAAATGGTCGGTTAATGACTAAAATAAAAACTACAACAGTAATGCAGCCGAACTTTTTTTTGGCGGTGAACACAATTTACATACTGTGGATTCTAGAGACTACTCTAGTTTTCGTCAAATCACTGAAAACTTCGTAGGTGCCATCCTGTGGCGGTTTTAAGAAGACACTTTTGTGTCCAGAGTTTCAGTATTTCAGAAATCATTTTTTCATGTTCGTATTCGTTTAATTTGTTATATCCGGTAATCAAAGAGTTAAGGGCTATTTTTGGTTTTCGGGGGGAAGTGCGGGGATTTTTTCTAACGCACACGAATGCTTTGCTTTGCTATCTACACACCAGAAGCCATTTTAAAATTGACAAGCCAAACTCATGTTTATAGCCATATAACATTAGACTTTGCTAACTGACTAGCTGAAAAAATAAATATGGAAATGCCTGCAGTCAGAGCGAGAGAACTATATGCGTCAAGCTGGCTGTCAAATTGAGCTGGGAGCAGCGCTGCGGAAGAATTTATCGAAAGTTTTACTTTGCGGGTACAATTTTGCTGGCTTGGTGTCTGTGTTCTGCTAGATCCGGTGGTACTCAGTTCGAAGCCTGCACTGAATTATCTTTTTTTTTTCTTTTACAAATCTGTTTTTAAATGTGTAGGGTCCTCGGTTCAAAGCGTGGGCTGGGCTTATCGTTATTTTTTTTTCTTTAGAACATTTTTTATTTACGCCCACTAACTTTTTGCATTGCTACCTGCCATGCGGTGTGCATTTAGTGAAATTTGTTTTTATTTTAATTTTATGTTTGTTTTTCATATTGCTCTTTAACTTCAGGGATATTAGGAATTTGTCAAAAATGTAATGCAAATAAAAAACTTATAGTGGCAGGTTCTTTAAATGTCACGCAATCCCCTTCAAATGTTGATTTGATAAATATTAATGGCTCACTGATCCAACATAAAGTATTGGAAATGATTGGAGACTGTTCGTTATTAGTTAGAGCAATATCATATTTTTTATACGAGACCCAAGAAGGGGCTTAAGAAATCTGAATACATGTAGAAGAATATGGCTAATTGGCAGAGATTTCATCCATTGACCCATAATAGAGAAGGCAATAATTCGGAATGCTCTGATGAGCATTTTTTTGAGCTAATAATTTTTTTGAATTTTAGAATTATAAACAAAAATTTTACATTTTATATTTTTTTGCTTCATCTGATATCTACATCTACAATGTATATTCTACATAAAACATGTAGATTATACATGTACCATTTAGATTCTAAATCTTTTTCGCTAGGGGGAAATCGCGCACTGAACGAGATAGAGTGTGCGAGCGAGAAGAAGAATGAGTGGCGTGGTCTCTTGCTGGAGGAGGTGGCGGAAGCACCTGAAAATTAATTTCTTCAGTCTGGCTATAAAATAGATTCAATCTTAATCAGATTCAGCATTCTGATAGATATGGTCTTTCTCTACGATACTGCATTTTGCTTTTCTCGTATCTTCAAAATTGTGGCTGCCACAGGTCACAGGTCTTATCAAAACAATTGGTTTTTATTTTTTTATTTTATGATATAAAATAATTGATTTTTCAAAGCTGTACATTTATAATTTCAAAGCAAAAAAACATCCCATATCGTCCGAGTTAAACAAAACAATGTACTCGGCAACTCTAGCAGTTGTCTGGAAACTCTCCGTGCATGGCAGCAATCAGCTGTTAAAATAAAACAGACATCTGAATTTTACGGTAAACTTGATTAAAATGCTTTTACCGAGACTGTTTGTTATGCTTAATTAAAGAAAAACAGAATGCTTTCAATATAATTAATAGTAAATATCTTGCTCCGAATTCGGCTTAAACAAGGTGGCATTACTGTATTAACTTCGAAAGTCCGAATAGCCCTAGGTGAACACCTCGCTCTGCAGCGGATTGAGAGCGGAATCGTTAAGTGAAAATTCAGTCAGCGGATTGAATAGTAATTTACTAAAATGTTTATTTTATTAACTCAACATGTGCAATGTTAAATTATTTGGATGAGGGTTAACCACCAATTGAACAACCTTTATGGGGAAAGTAAGATTCGAATAGTTTTAGGTGTGTTTTATGGGTGTATTTTATTAAATCGCTGGATAAATTGTGAGCGATTTTGGTTCCGCTGAAAAGTCGGTGTGTGGCACGGCGGAATGGAATTGAGGTGATTTTCCAGCGGAAGTGATTGCTGTGGCACCCCTGTATGATTTATGTAGAATTTTACAACATTTTAAATTTAACATTTTTTTGCTAAATCTGTTACCTACATCTACATCGCCAATGTATATTCTACATCTTCACCGCCAGCGAGCGTAAATAACGTGCGAGCGAGAAAGAGAATGAGTAGCGGGTCTCTTGCTGTAGGAGGCGGGAGAAGAAACTGAAAATAAATTTCTTCATTCTGGCTATAATTATGACTCGATCTGGTACAGATTCGGCAAAATGGTAGATATGGTCAGTCTCTACGATACTGCGTTTTTAGTTTTATCGTATCTTTAAAATTCTGAACCGTCAACCGTCACCGACTACATTCTGAACCGTCAACCGTCAACGACTACAGATGTATTTTTGTATCGCTCAGCGGTGAAAATCAATTAAATCAATTAATCGCGATTAATCATAAATTAATTCGCGAAAAAGCGCTCGGGGTAGGCATGGGTACTAGTGATCGTGCTGCCCATGATGGTATTCATGATATTCAATCGAGTAATAAAGATTAATAGAAATAATAGAAAAGAACAAATGTCAACGTTTAAGAGCACCAGCTCGGTAAAGAGCACAAGCACTGTAACCAAAGCCAAAATGAGCCAAGCCCGGCAACAACAACAAGACGAGCGTCGGCTCTCGCAAGCAAAAAACAACGCGTACTTCTCTATACGCTCGCCAAAGGCAGCAGTACCAACAAAAACTGCATCACTGCAAGTGAACGAGGAGAGAGCACGCTCTCTCTCCCCTGCATTGCAAAGTGGGTCATGGAGTGCTCAGTGCCCATCCCCCGACTCGTACTGCCTAACCAGCGATTTGCTAATATCGACAACAACTAGTACAATGCCCTCGCTCAAAACTGTGTCTTCGACCACAACAACGACAACAACCAAAACAACAACCACTGCAATTGCTCAGCGCCCGATACTGTCGACCCACTGCGATAAGCCCCAACTCTCCCAACCAATAAGTTCAAAAAATGCTAACGGAGCGTTTATTCAGACTGGGCTCGATCGCTATGTGCAAATCAAAAGTAAATTGAGCCCACAAAATGTGAAGAACAACAATGCAGCTAAAATAACTAAAATAACCGAGAACACTGTGCCACATAAGGCACTAGCAAACAATAGATTTACGATACTAAGTGTCCCAAATGAAGATGAGATCACCCAAACACCCAAGGCCAAAAAATTAAGACCGCCACCTATTTATGTTCGACAGGCAAATTGTGCTGAACTGGTCAAAAAAATAACTGATACAATTGGCGCAAACACATTCTATGTCACGTACATAAAAAGGGGTAACATAAATGAAACAAAAATACAAGTCAATGACGAACAAAACTATCGATCAGTTGCGAAATACCTCGAAAATGAAAAAATTAATTACCACACCTACCAACTTAAAAGTAGCAAAGGATTACAAGTGGTTATCAAAGGAATCGAACCAACAGTCCCAATCAATGAGATAATAGATGGACTTAACGATAAGGGCTTCGAAGTCAGTTGCCATTTTGGCAATGAACATAATAAATAGAAATAAAATTCCCCAGCCAATGTTCAAAGTAGAACTGACACCTGAAAGTATGCATATAAGTAAAAATTAAGTTCACCCAATATACAAGCTTCAATATCTACTGCACCATAGGATCACCGTTGAGGAACCACACAAACGAAATGGACCTGTCCAATGCACAAATTGCCAGGAATATGGACACACGAAAACCTATTGCACTCTACGGGCAGTCTGCGTTGCCTGTGGTGATGTTCATCTCACTGAGGCCTGCCCTGTAAATAAGGAGGACCCATCTGCCAAAAAATGTAGCAACTGTGGGGGAAACCATACTGCCAACTATAGAGGTTGTCCTGTCTATAAAGAATTGAAAAATCGCCTAAACCAACAAATAACTGCAGCTCGAAACCCGGTCGTCCGACAAAACTCAACATATATACCATCAACTACGACTCCAGGAGTTTCTTTTGCTCAGGCGTTAAGTTACAACAACGGGTCGTACGCCTCAGTCTCTAAGCCGACACTTCAACCAACCACAGCTGGAATAATGCAGAATCAGGCATCAAATCAGATCCCAGAAATCTCTGCCCAACATACCCCTGCTAATCCATCCCAATTGCCTAGTGGAATTGAGTCAATGCTGGTAACTATAACAAACACAATGGTAGCAATACAACAAACGATGCAGGAGCTTATGCGCAACCAAAATCTCCTCCTGGAGCTCCTAATCAAACAGAAATCTGTTTAAATGTCCTGTCTAAATATATGTTTCTGGAATGCAAATGGCATTTCTCAGCACAAATGCGAGCTCTTACAGTTCCTCGCTCAACACGACATTGACACCATGCTCATATCAGAGACTCACCTAACAAATAAAAACTATTTTCACCTCGATGGCTATAACTTCTATGCGACAAATCCCGATGGTAAGGCACATGGAGGTACTGGCGTTCTGATCAAGAATCGCATTAGGCATTATCCATTGCCTTCATTTGATACACCTTATCTACAGGCAACAGAAATTCATATTGAAATTCAGAGCGGCTACCTAAACCTAGCCGCAGTATACCGCCCACCACGTTTCTGCATTTCCGAAACAGAATTTGTAACATTCTTCGACCTACTAGGTGACCGATTTATAGCAGCTGGTGACTACAATGCCAAGCACACCCATTGGGGATCTAGACTTACCAACCCGAAAGGAAGACAACTATATA